CTTGGAAGATTTGTTGATATGAATTTGCAAAGACTCTAATTCAGCAATACATAGTAGGGTTTGGATGAATTGGTCATTTGGAAATGATGGTGTATTCATTTTATGATTAGGTATATGCAGATAATTGAGCTCAAATAGACGCCTCACCTTACGACCAGTTCCAAGAAGTTGTCCTGTTTGTGGGTCCTACACACGACAACCATGAGTAGAAAAAGTTATTTCAAGACCAAGATCACATAACTGACTAATAGATAAGAGATTATAACTAAGTTTTGGAACTAAGAAAGCGTTTGGTAAAGTCAATGAATTTGTAGAAAGATTGCTTATATGACTAACATTCATAGGGGAGCCATCAACATAATAAATGTCAGGAAAGGAATTATTTTGTGACATTGAAGAAAAATAAGTAGTAGTTGAAGACATGTGATTACAACAACCAGAATCAAAACACCAAGGTTTAGTACTTGGAGCAGCAGATAAGGCAGTAGGAGCATTAGGAAGATTTAATATCACCTGTTTTAGAGATTCAAGGTTGACAATAAGTTGGTCTATCACCTTTTTGGCAACCATTGCAGCAGCAAGACGAGTCATAGTTCTTTCAAAACTCGCCATAGAATCAGTAAAACTCACAATACTGAAAAAGTCTCTAAAAGTATGAAAAAATAGATGTCAAGATCACAATTACAACTCAATAAAATATCTCAAAAAGGGCATGAGAATTAAGAATAAACTATCCAATCTACAGGAGAAGAGAACCCAACAACTATGTTTCAGATCTAGAATAGATATGAAAATCCAACTTAATAACCAAGCAATGATAAGAGAAGAACCAGGACCTTATCGCTCTGATACCATATTAGAAATCGAAAAAGAAGGAGAAATATTTGAAGAAAAGTTTATTATTTTCTTGAATAATACTGTATGTACAATGACTTATATATAAGTGTTTACAAAAAGAACATTCTAAGATATAAAATATATAAAAAGAATATTCTAAGGTATAAAATATTTACAATAAGTGTGAATATAATTTAAATTATTGTTTTCACATCTTAATAGAAATGAATAGTAGAAGTCAGCTTAAAGTAAAAGGTAATAGATTGGACAAGAAATTGAAGAAAGAGTTTCCCACTC